TGAGAGCTGATTTGTGAAGAATACTATTATTGGACAAATTGTACTGCAATCCTTTTCCCTTGACCAGGTTTATTCTATTGGATTTACTGGCAAGGTTTTAAACGAGGTAGTATCAAGCATATCCAGTACCACTTACAATCATCAAATAATTTTTTTTTTTTTTTTTTTTTTTTTTTTTTTTTTTTATTTATTAGGTTTTTATCCTATTGAGATTTTCTAGTAAAGTTAAACACATTATCAAAAGTGGTGGAAATCGAAGGGGAGTGTTTAATATAGTGTCTTCTCACCTTTATCAGACACTTACCAATATTTATTATGTCACCTTCTTCTTCTTGTTTCTCATGTAGGCATGTGGCAAGTCATATGGCAACAACTTTTGTCAGCTTTGGCAGTATCTGCCTACCAATACCACATTCCATTGTTTTTTATACACCCTGACAAGGAATGATGTTGTAATGAAGGATAATAACATTCAAGTCCTTTAGTTATTCTCTATTACATTATCATCTCTTATTTTTATTTCACATAAATTATTATAGATTAAAAGCTGCAAGTTTCCTACTTCTATGTTTGTAGGGTTCAAACTCGAGTTTGTTTATATGGATTTGGAGGCTTTTTGGGTTATTACTAAAAATAAAATAAGGATCAGACATAGGATAGGATTGCTCACACATCCCATGAGCATTATTTTTTAAATTTGACAGTTTGCGTAAATACTATTGTTCAAAATCATTTACCTTTCATTTTCTGTATACGAGGCAATGAGTGATGATTCCATCTCCTCTTTATCCTACTGACTATGTTGGGAGCCATCATTATACAAGCAAAACTGTGACGCATAGCACTTCTCACATTTTCACTAGTGCTTGAGCATTTCTCAAAAATGATAGTGTGTTTAGATATGTTGAACATTGAATATTAGTTATTTGAGGCTCAATTATATCACATCTCAGTGGGACTTTTAGGTTTTAGTAATCTTTAAAATAAAATTCACTAACTTGTAGTTCCCTTTTTTGTTTTTTTTTTTCCCCTCTTTTCCTTCTTTGTTTTGGTCGGTCAGGTTGACATGAGAGCTAGGATCCGTGGAAACAAAGGCTACTAAGACTACAACCAGCATAAAGTAGTTGTTGTAATGTTGGACGTCTCTTATACGGCTAATTATCAGTGGTAATGACTAAAAGGAGATGATGGGAAAGGAAAGGTGAATGGAAAGCTCCAAACGGCAGTCCACAACTCCAAGACTAAAAACAAATTTCATGCTATCCTGATTGATAGGTTGAGACATTCGTTTCTTTCTTTTTCTTTACAATTCTTGTTTGGCTTTAATGGGTGTCAGCAACCAGAAAAGTCTTTGAAGTAAGATTCAAGACTACGTTCATGGATTTTATGAAAACAGGATAAGTTTATAAGGGGTTTAAGGTTTAATCCCTTTCTTTTAATGCATTTTTGAGGCAGATCTTAGGATGATTAAAGTATTGATACCGTTGACATAGGCAAATTTTATCGTTGAGGAACTATGTGCGTTGTTCTTTTGGATCAATACCTGCTCTCTTATTCATAATGTTGAATTCATATATTGATCTAAATTTGTCGCAAGACTTCCCATACTTAGTTTTTACGCTTGAATTCAAATCGTATTGGATGTTTGTTACATAATTTTAGCAAACAAAAACTATTGTAGGAGGTTTTGTATGAAATTGATAGTAATCAGAAACATAGAAGTTGATAGGGATTTGATATGATTTCCTGTTTCTTTTTCTTACGAAAGTTGAGGAACCCTTAATCTTCAAGACTTCATACAACAGTTGTACTGTGTCGATAATGTTATTGTGTCGACTTGTACACTTTCTAGATGGATTGACTTATACCGTTTTGAGGCAAATTATAAGACATGAGCATCCAATCCCTCATAATGACTAATTAAGTTGTAATCTTTAAAACAATCAACCCAAATGTCCATTGTCTTTTTATTTATTTTATCGAGCTGTCCGCTAGTTTTCGTATATCTTAATTGATCTTCGGACCTTGAACTATTGGTCGGATAAGAGTTTTAGTGGTTCCCTTATTAGCATTCAAGGAGGGATTAAACTCAGGATCTCTTGAGTAATACAAAGTATACACTCAAGAGTCTCTATCTAATCACTCGGCCATCCAGTAGAATCTCATTGTCAAAATTACTATAGCATGAGAATGAAGTGACTTCCTTGTGTTGTATTCCATAAAGCAAAACTGAAATTTGTTGATGATGATTGATGTTGATTATGTATAAGTTCAAACCAAGGGGGAGTTTGTGACAACTCGTGAAAGTAAAAGAAGATTATTATATGTGCAACCTAGGCATGTTTGAAAATTGCATTTTGTCGCATACTTTGAGAGAGAACAAGAAATTTGCATTAGGTTTTAGAATTAATGTCGATGCACACTTAGCAAACTAGTTTGTACTTTGACATATAGGAATTATTATATATTATACTTCTCTTATTTTTATATCTCAACCGACCTTATATTTCTGTCTTGTGAAAATTATTATATATACCTATTGGTGGATTTTATACTTTTATAAAATAGTTTTTTTGATATTTGTAAGGATTTTTTATATTTTAAATAAAATTTTGATAATTTTAGAGGGGAATTAATAGTTTAAGCAATTCACTAAGGTTTTGAGACTTAGTAGCCTTGTAACAAAATAGCAACTTAATTAAGAGTTGTTTGTTGGGTTTGTCTAGTACTCACAAAGAGAATTTAAGCAACAAACACCTTGAAAATTTTTAGGTTATTTGATTGCATTTTAAAAGTGCTTATAGGATATTAAATAAGTTTTTCTACATGAACTTCTGTCATATGCTCATTTTGAGCTTATTTAAAATGTTACAATTACAAAACTTCACAGTAATTCTACTCGAAAAAGTAGTACTAAACGAACCCTAAAATCATATTTTCTTGTATATATGTGACTATCTCTTTGAACTTTCTTTGTAATCTAGAACAACCCGGAATCTTGAACCTACAGAAATGGAGTGATTGCTCTCTTGTAAAACAAAAGGTGCTTCCTTTTTTTGAGATGAAAGTAGTGGAAGATGAGAGTGTACAGCATAAAAGGAAGGCATGCCTACCTAAAAGGTGGGGATGATTGAGACCTTTGCTCTTTGCATCTTCCAAGGCCATCATTTTGTCAAAGACCAAAGCAAAATATAGTGGGCAGTGGGCATGGCCATGGCCATAACTCAAATGTGTTTCAGCATTTAGCTTTTATAACCTTAGTGGGAAACCCAAAAATAATGGATGGCATCTTTAGGGATATAGTACACACATCCATTCAAGAACAAATTTCCTTTTATCATGATGAGTGGTCCAATATTGGTATAAAATGTGAATAAATCTAAACAATGAAATATAAACGAGATGTTTGTTTTGTAAGAGTGTTCAGTTTTTATTTATTTATTCTTATTTTTATAAAGCACGAATCAAGATCAATAATATGAAAATTAAAATCAAATCATAAGTCTTCTCAATTTTACTACATTCTGAAATAGGTTAATATAAAGATTTGAAAAGTTAATATTATGATATATAAGTACATTTGGCGTCAAATGTAGCATTATTTAGTCGAATGGTTATGTTTGTAGTTTGTTCTTATCAGGTTTAAGGTTTGAGCTCTCTCATAAGCACACATGCATGACCAAAGTCTAAATGTGGCATTGATTAAATGATATGGTGACTATTTGGTATTTTTATTATAATTTTTTTAACATAAGTACATAACTTAAATTATATAAAAAGTAAAGTGTCCATTTTTTTTTTTTTTTTTGCGTTAATATTATAATAATAAGAAAAACAATAAATTATTAAATGTTGTGAATAATTGATATGCTATTTGATAAGATTGTAATGTGCTAAAAGTGGGATAACAATATTGGCACCATTGATTCGACATTGAAATAAATCTAGTTTTGACATTAACATTAAAAAAAAAAATTATGAATAATTTTCTAATTATGTGATAAGTCTTTACTTTTTGTTTTCAAGCAATAGGTGTTATCCGCTTTAAACCTATACAATTGGCTTGAGATAATATCACGAGGTTGGATCTCGCATCCATTAACACTATCGAGACCAAACGTAGCCTTCAAAAGTGTTGATGAAGTTAGATTCATTAATTGTGTAACTCTCTCAAGGCTTTGGCCTCCAACAACGTCAGCAATGCCAACAACCTACGGGATATAGTGGTGAACCTTTGCTTAGGCCAATTGCCTTCCTTATCCCTTGCTAGTTGTTGGCCCCGTCTAAAAGGATCGGCCTCCCCAAGATTAAAAACCTAGGTTCACCACTGATAGGATAAGATATAAAGGTTTCGGGTTTAAGGGGTAAAAATGTCATTTCCAAAGATAACATATATTTCTTAACAATTTTGAATGGAATAGAGATTAGTCCTATTTTCCAAACTTGCAAGTGGCGATGAAATCAACTATACTTATAAAAGGATTTTATGAAATTATCCCTAATTTATTTATAAAATCAGTCTAATCTCGTTCAAGTCAAATAAATAAATATTTTTCTAAATCAATAAAATATTTTTAAAAAAAAAAAAAAAACTTATTTATTCGGCATAACTAATTAGAAACAAAACCTAGTGGCTCACGCCACAGTAGGTAGGCCGTGGGCCCATCAAAAAGTCCCAAATCATAATCAGAAGTCAACGAAATCAACGGCGTACAAACGAAGTTACCCTTTTCATCAAGTGGTGGGAAACACATAAAGAAGACGTTAACGATTCAAAAATTCAAAAAAATATTAAACTACGCTTCCCTATATATAAGACGACACACAAATCTTTCTGGCGCACTCTGGACTCTGGAGACGACTTCCTTCTCTCTTCTCTTCTCTTCTCATCCCTTTCGCCTCTTCTATCTCAAAACGCCGTCGTTGCCGCCTCTTGAATCCCTTATTTCTTCGATTTTGTTAATCCTGAGGTATCATTTGACGCGAAACCCTAACTTCTTTTTCGCTTTTGTGTTTTTGTTTTATTGTGCGGTTGTGGTTTTTTGTCACGTGATCGTCGATAGCGACTTGACTAGCGGTGCGTGTTTTGTGTTTCTGTTTGGTTCTGGGGAATCTTTTGAAATATGTGTAGTGGTTAAGTTTGTGAAGTTCCGTGGTAAAGGTGATGAGGATATATATATGATTATGTGGATTTGTTTGTTCGAAGAAAATATTGAAGAGCTGTGTCGGTTTGATTTGGATTTTTTATGTTATGGAACTGGTGAAGTCGCTTGGTTAAGCTGTTGTGATTGACATGTGAATCAGGGTTCACTTTGGTTGTTTATGCCTTCGTTTTCGAAAGATTTTGATGATATTGTTGAGTAAAATGAATTTTATGTTCAATTGAAAATTTTTATTTTATATATAATTATATATGAATATTTTTTAGATGCGGAAATGCCCTTTTTTTTTTTTTTGGTAAAAAAATTGCAAACTCCTCGGGCAAGAAATTAAGCTAAAATTTTGTCTGTAAAAAGAAAAAAAAAAAAATTAGCACGTTGCAGGAGAGAAGAATTCTCTCTCTTTATTAATATATGTACACAAATGATTGAAGTCTTGGTTCTTAAATGCTGTTGTTGGTCTTTATATTTTATCAGCTTAAGCGTTTAAATGTGAAGTGGTTACTTAAAAATTAGTAAATTCGAGTATAATTGTGTTTGCAGTTATGGGCAGTACTTGTTTACGCGAAATGTAAATTGTAAAGGTTTTGAACTTTTTTGTTGTTTAGGGTTGATGGACGTGAATTTCATGAACGGGAAAATGGAAGTTAATGGGAGGGATGATCTGAAGAAACCTTTATTGCAGCATGTAAATGGTGTTGCAATTGATATCCCACAACAGATTAATGATGGAGGTGACAAATTTAGGACAGTGAAGTTCAAAATACGGGAGATCAAGTGTGCATCCTGTGCAGCATCTATTGAATCCGTGCTGTTGAGCCTGAATGGGGTCAAGAGTGCCATGGTGTCGCCGCTTGAAGGCCAGGCTGCAGTTAAATATGTTCCTGAGCTTGTTACTGTGAGTGTTGTTCAGGAACTGATTTAACATTTATTTTTGTTTTACTAGTATATATATTGTATTCAAAGGATGAATCTGTGTTAAAAGGGGTAAAATTTTTAACAATTTTTCAAAGTAGCATAAAATCTTTATGCACATGTGTAATGTGTTTGTGTCTGAAAAATATGGTTTTGAAAAGTGTGAAAGGAAATGTTTTCCCCTCTAAAGTTTAGTTTTCTTGAATTATATGAGTGTGAAGATTAATTGTATAAATAAATTTTTTGATTTTATGAAACTTTCTTCATCTAAAATCTATGGTATGTGCTTGTGCCGGTGTTTCACAAATTCTGGCTTGTTTAATTCTTAGGTGTACTTTCTCTTTCTGTGCTTGGAGATTGGAATCATTTAATTTTACATTTCTCAGGCAAAACAAATTAAGGAAACGATTGAAGAAGCAGGTTTCCCTGTTGATGATTTTCCAGAACAAGACATAGCAGTATGCCGCCTCAGGATTAAAGGAATGATGTGCACCAGCTGCTCTGAGTCTGTAGAATGTGCCCTTCAAATGGTGGATGGGGTGAAAAAGGCTGTGGTTGGTGTAGCTCTTGAAGAAGCAAAGGTTCACTTTGATCCAAATGTCACTGATACAGACTGTATCATTGAAGCAATAGAAGATGCTGGCTTTGGAGCCGATTTGATTAATTCTGGCAATGATTTTAACAAAGTGCATTTAAAACTTGAAGGAATTAAGTCACAGGAAGATGTTACCTTTATTCAAACCTTTCTTGAGTCAGCTCAAGGTGTAAATCATGTTGAAATGGATTTGGCAGAAAATAAGGTGACGGTTAGCTATGACCCAGACCTCACTGGTCCAAGATCTATTATACAGTACATTGATGGAGCTTCCCATGGCCCCAGCATTTATCGTGCAAGCTTGTATGCTCCTCCAAGACAAAGGGAAACAGAGCGGCTGCAAGAAACGCGGATGTACAGGAACCAGTTCTTACTAAGCTGCCTGTTTTCGGTTCCTGTTTTCCTATTTTCAATGGTACTTCCAATGGTTCCTACTTATGGTAGCTGGTTAGACTACAAGATTCATAACATGCTCACTATTGGGATGCTCTTAAGATGGATCCTCTGCACACCAGTGCAGTTTGTTGTTGGCCGAAGGTAATAAGTTAATTTTTTTATTATGCAATTTTCTCATCAATGATACTGATATTTGCCACAATATGGGCATTTATATTTTTGAAAAGTAATTTTTCAGATAACTTGTGAGACAGATAATAATTTGGCTTGATTGTCTTTGTCAGATTCTATGTGGGATCATATCATGCATTGAGACGAAAATCTGCTAATATGGATGTTCTGGTCGCACTTGGCACAAATGTTGCTTATATCTACTCTGTATATATAGCAATAAAAGCATTGACTTCAGATACATTTGAAGGGCAGGATTTCTTTGAGACTAGTGCCATGTTGATATCCTTTATCCTCTTAGGGAAATATTTGGAGGTTATCGCTAAAGGGAAAACATCAGATGCTTTAGCAAAGCTGACAGAACTTGCCCCTGATACAGCTCATCTTTTAACATTAGATGGTGAGGGAAATGTTCTTTCAGAGATGGAAATCAGTACTCAGCTGATACAGAGGAATGATATAATCAAAGTTCTTCCAGGAGAAAAAGTTCCTGTTGACGGGATAGTTATAGATGGTCAAAGTCATGTGAACGAGAGTATGATCACAGGAGAGGCAAAGCCCATTTCTAAAAGACCTGGTGACAAGGTATGAAAGGTTTGACATGTACATTTTAATGTATGTGGCATTTTAAGATGCTGAATGAAGATTTTAATTGTTTCTAATGTAATTAACAGGTTATTGGTGGGACCATGAATGAGAATGGTTGCTTACTGGTTAAGGCTACTCATGTTGGGTCAGAGACTGCACTTTCCCAAATTGTTCAACTCGTCGAAGCTGCTCAGCTTGCCAGAGCACCTGTTCAGAAATTAGCTGATCAGATCTCAAAGTTTTTTGTTCCGACAGTGAGTTTGTTGTTTACTTCAAACATTCTACTTAGTGTTGAATTATTCTAATTTAAAAATTTTTCTCCTTCATACTTTGTTACGTTTGTCAACAAGATCAAATGTGTTTGAAAATCTTATGAGCCATGCTTGAATGAGTTCAGTTTGGTTTAGCAGTAAATGAACCAATAACAACCACCTAGTGTTCCACAAAACGCAGGTCATTTACAGCTGCATACTTTCCACTGCTTATCAAGTCAATCATTTTGTTTTTTTCACCTCTTATCAGGTTGTTGTTGCAGCATTTATTACATGGCTTGGATGGTTCATCCCTGGAGTGTTTGGACTTTACCCAAAACATTGGATACCAAAGGTCATGGATGAGTTTGAGCTTGCTCTGCAGTTTGGTATTTCAGTATTGGTGGTTGCTTGCCCATGTGCTCTTGGACTGGCAACCCCTACTGCTGTCATGGTTGCCACAGGGAAGGGTGCTTCTCAAGGTGTGCTTATCAAGGGAGGAAATGCACTTGAAAAGGCACACAAGGTATGACTATCATTCTCTTTTAGCAGCTGCATAACTAGAATTTGGATTTGATTATGAGCTTTGTTTCTACCTGCAGATTTACTCAGCAAAGTTTTCTCTGCTCCCAATATTACCTGAATATTATTACTCTTGCATGTAACAGGCACACACACACACACACACACACACAAACATCCAAATCCTGCTTTCCCCAAATTAGCCTGGTTGTAGTGGTCTCATTTATCTCTAGTAATCAAATTCTTCTATAACATTAGATATTCATTTTCACGATCATGATAAAATATGTGATTGATTCAACAACACCAGTTTGCTTTTGCAGATCGCGATTGAGATGTCAAAATTAGCACGTTGCAGGAGAGAAGAATTCTCTCTCTTTATTAATGTATGTACACAAATGATTGAAGTCTTGGTTCTTAAATGCTGTTTTTGGTCTTTATATTTTATCAGCTTAAGCGTTTAAATGTGAAGTGGTTACTTAAAAATTAGTAAATTCGAGTATAATTGTGTTTGCAGTTATGGGCAGTACTTGTTTACGCGAAATGTAAATTGTAAAGGTTTTGAACTTTTTTGTTGTTTAGGGTTGATGGACGTGAATTTCATGAACGGGAAAATGGAAGTTAATGGGAGGGATGATCTGAAGAAACCTTTATTGCAGCATGTAAATGGTGTTGCAATTGATATCCCACAACAGATTAATGATGGAGGTGACAAATTTAGGACAGTGAAGTTCAAAATACGGGAGATCAAGTGTGCATCCTGTGCAGCATCTATTGAATCCGTGCTGTTGAGCCTGAATGGGGTCAAGAGTGCCATGGTGTCGCCGCTTGAAGGCCAGGCTGCAGTTAAATATGTTCCTGAGCTTGTTACTGTGAGTGTTGTTCAGGAACTGATTTAACATTTATTTTTGTTTTACTAGTATATATATTGTATTCAAAGGATGAATCTGTGTTAAAAGGGGTAAAATTTTTAACAATTTTTCAAAGTAGCATAAAATCTTTATGCACATGTGTAATGTGTTTGTGTCTGAAAAATATGGTTTTGAAAAGTGTGAAAGGAAATGTTTTCCCCTCTAAAGTTTAGTTTTCTTGAATTATATGAGTGTGAAGATTAATTGTATAAATAAATTTTTTGATTTTATGAAACTTTCTTCATCTAAAATCTATGGTATGTGCTTGTGCCGGTGTTTCACAAATTCTGGCTTGTTTAATTCTTAGGTGTACTTTCTCTTTCTGTGCTTGGAGATTGGAATCATTTAATTTTACATTTCTCAGGCAAAACAAATTAAGGAAACGATTGAAGAAGCAGGTTTCCCTGTTGATGATTTTCCAGAACAAGACATAGCAGTATGCCGCCTCAGGATTAAAGGAATGATGTGCACCAGCTGCTCTGAGTCTGTAGAATGTGCCCTTCAAATGGTGGATGGGGTGAAAAAGGCTGTGGTTGGTGTAGCTCTTGAAGAAGCAAAGGTTCACTTTGATCCAAATGTCACTGATACAGACTGTATCATTGAAGCAATAGAAGATGCTGGCTTTGGAGCCGATTTGATTAATTCTGGCAATGATTTTAACAAAGTGCATTTAAAACTTGAAGGAATTAAGTCACAGGAAGATGTTACCTTTATTCAAACCTTTCTTGAGTCAGCTCAAGGTGTAAATCATGTTGAAATGGATTTGGCAGAAAATAAGGTGACGGTTAGCTATGACCCAGACCTCACTGGTCCAAGATCTATTATACAGTACATTGATGGAGCTTCCCATGGCCCCAGCATTTATCGTGCAAGCTTGTATGCTCCTCCAAGACAAAGGGAAACAGAGCGGCTGCAAGAAACGCGGATGTACAGGAACCAGTTCTTACTAAGCTGCCTGTTTTCGGTTCCTGTTTTCCTATTTTCAATGGTACTTCCAATGGTTCCTACTTATGGTAGCTGGTTAGACTACAAGATTCATAACATGCTCACTATTGGGATGCTCTTAAGATGGATCCTCTGCACACCAGTGCAGTTTGTTGTTGGCCGAAGGTAATAAGTTAATTTTTTTATTATGCAATTTTCTCATCAATGATACTGATATTTGCCACAATATGGGCATTTATATTTTTGAAAAGTAATTTTTCAGATAACTTGTGAGACAGATAATAATTTGGCTTGATTGTCTTTGTCAGATTCTATGTGGGATCATATCATGCATTGAGACGAAAATCTGCTAATATGGATGTTCTGGTCGCACTTGGCACAAATGTTGCTTATATCTACTCTGTATATATAGCAATAAAAGCATTGACTTCAGATACATTTGAAGGGCAGGATTTCTTTGAGACTAGTGCCATGTTGATATCCTTTATCCTCTTAGGGAAATATTTGGAGGTTATCGCTAAAGGGAAAACATCAGATGCTTTAGCAAAGCTGACAGAACTTGCCCCTGATACAGCTCATCTTTTAACATTAGATGGTGAGGGAAATGTTCTTTCAGAGATGGAAATCAGTACTCAGCTGATACAGAGGAATGATATAATCAAAGTTCTTCCAGGAGAAAAAGTTCCTGTTGACGGGATAGTTATAGATGGTCAAAGTCATGTGAACGAGAGTATGATCACAGGAGAGGCAAAGCCCATTTCTAAAAGACCTGGTGACAAGGTATGAAAGGTTTGACATGTACATTTTAATGTATGTGGCATTTTAAGATGCTGAATGAAGATTTTAATTGTTTCTAATGTAATTAACAGGTTATTGGTGGGACCATGAATGAGAATGGTTGCTTACTGGTTAAGGCTACTCATGTTGGGTCAGAGACTGCACTTTCCCAAATTGTTCAACTCGTCGAAGCTGCTCAGCTTGCCAGAGCACCTGTTCAGAAATTAGCTGATCAGATCTCAAAGTTTTTTGTTCCGACAGTGAGTTTGTTGTTTACTTCAAACATTCTACTTAGTGTTGAATTATTCTAATTTAAAAATTTTTCTCCTTCATACTTTGTTACGTTTGTCAACAAGATCAAATGTGTTTGAAAATCTTATGAGCCATGCTTGAATGAGTTCAGTTTGGTTTAGCAGTAAATGAACCAATAACAACCACCTAGTGTTCCACAAAACGCAGGTCATTTACAGCTGCATACTTTCCACTGCTTATCAAGTCAATCATTTTGTTTTTTTCACCTCTTATCAGGTTGTTGTTGCAGCATTTATTACATGGCTTGGATGGTTCATCCCTGGAGTGTTTGGACTTTACCCAAAACATTGGATACCAAAGGTCATGGATGAGTTTGAGCTTGCTCTGCAGTTTGGTATTTCAGTATTGGTGGTTGCTTGCCCATGTGCTCTTGGACTGGCAACCCCTACTGCTGTCATGGTTGCCACAGGGAAGGGTGCTTCTCAAGGTGTGCTTATCAAGGGAGGAAATGCACTTGAAAAGGCACACAAGGTATGACTATCATTCTCTTTTAGCAGCTGCATAACTAGAATTTGGATTTGATTATGAGCTTTGTTTCTACCTGCAGATTTACTCAGCAAAGTTTTCTCTGCTCCCAATATTACCTGAATATTATTACTCTTGCATGTAACAGGCACACACACACACACACACACAAACATCCAAATCCTGCTTTCCCCAAATTAGCCTGGTTGTAGTGGTCTCATTTATCTCTAGTAATCAAATTCTTCTATAACATTAGATATTCATTTTCACGATCATGATAAAATATGTGATTGATTCAACAACACCAGTTTGCTTTTGCAGATCGTGATTGAGATGTCATATCTCCCTTGAAAACAGATATAAGCCATTTCTTTTTCAATTTCATTTAAATATTTTTTTGCTGGAACATACATCTTGAATGCTGCAAAATATTATATTTTCACTAGTGTCCTACAATCATATACTCATGAGGGTGATTTATGGGTCATTCACAAGCACCATTTTACTTCCTTTCCTTTTATCTTTTGACATTTACAAATGAAAGTATGAAACCTTGGTCGTGGGGAGTTTTTGTTTTGATTTATGTCCCAAGCTGCTGTGGAGGTGACTGCATTAGTTATAGTATCTTCTTTTAATCCTGCAGGTAAAGACAGTTGTCTTTGACAAGACAGGGACACTGACCGTTGGGAAGCCTGAGGTAGTCAGTGCAGTGCTCTTTTCTCATTTTTCAATGGAGGAGTTCTGCGACATGGCCACTGCTGCTGAGGTACATAGACCCATTTAGAATGCCTCACTAATTAAAATGCAACATGTTGGGATTTAAGCACAAATTCTTCTCCAGCACAAAATTGGGATAGCTTTGTGAAACAGTTCCATGTCTTTTTAACCTCAGATTTGGCAAGAAATTTGAACATTAGAAATAAATTTTGCTTTGGTGATGTAGTAAGTAGTGAATGGGTTTCACAGTATGTGGATGTATTTACATATTTGTATTTTTCATCAACACTTTTATCCATAACATGTTCAGGCAAATAGCGAGCATCCAATAGCGAAAGCTGTGGTGAAGCATGCTAAGAAGCTGCGTCAGAAGTTTGGCTCCCATACTGAACAGGTTACTGAGGCTAAGGACTTTGAGGTGCATACTGGAGCTGGTGTCAGTGGAAAAGTTGGTGACAAAACGGTTTTGGTTGGGAACAAGAGGCTCATGCGGACGTTTCATGTCCCTGTTGAATCTGCAGTCGAGGACTATATTTCAGAAAACGAGCAACTGGCCCGAACATGTGTTTTAGTTGCCATTGAAGGAAAGGTTGCTGGAGCTTTTGCCGTAACCGATCCAGTGAAGCCTGAGGCTCAGGTTGTTGTATCTTTTCTCCGCTCAATGGGCATCTCAAGCATCATGGTGACTGGTGATAATTGGGCCACAGCAACTGCCATAGCAAAAGAGGCTGGAATAGAGAAGGTGATTGCTGAGACAGACCCAATTGGAAAAGCCGATAAGATAAAAGAATTACAGGTATAACTTATTTGACATGATTACATGGTGCTCTATAAACAATTAGTTGTCTTAACGTGTGCTTTAACGGACATGAATTTTGATTATTTTGATGTACTTTTTACTCTGATTATATGATAGTTTGTTTGTAAAGGTGTAACTTTTGTTTTCTTGAATTGGCAATGGATGCAGTTGAAAGGAATGACGGTAGCTATGGTGGGAGATGGAATAAATGATTCGCCAGCCTTAGTTGCGGCCGATGTAGGGATGGCAATCGGTGCAGGTACAGACGTAGCAATAGAAGCGGCCGATATAGTTCTCATCAAAAGCAACTTGGAAGACGTAATCACAGCCATAGATCTTTCAAGAAAGACCATTTCCCGAATCCGTCTCAACTATGTTTGGGCACTCGGCTACAACATTCTTGCCATGCCTATTGCCGCCGGAATTCTCTACCCCTTCACCGGAATCCGACTACCTCCATGGCTTGCCGGGGCCTGCATGGCCGCCTCATCCCTCAGTGTGGTTTGTTCTTCTCTCTTGTTGCAGTCTTATAAGAAGCCTTTGCATATTAAAGCCCCTCAAAGGCCAATTCACTAGTAGTAGTATATCAAGCAATAATAATTATAATCTATAAAATTGACTAGTTTTTAGCCTCAAATTGTATCATCAATTGTTCTCATTGATGTGCTATATAATCTAATAAAACTAAAGTGTCATTTCAATTCTTTCACCTTAAAAGGGTGAAATTTTTTATCCATGATAATATTTCTGAGAAACCCTATTGAAGATCTAAAAGGGGTTTGAATTATTTATTTTTTATTTTTTTTTTTAGAAGGGTAATTTTAATGTTAAGTGATCCGGTCCGTTTGATTTATGATCTGTAAATGATTTTTAGAAAACTATGATTCAAATTTAATGTTTGAAACTATGTCCGATATAATATTTTAAAACTGTTTTTTAAAATATTTTGACATTTTTATTTGATACAAATACAATATCTTTAATGAAACATGAAATTTAATTATATTAATATACTTTATATAGAAAGGAAAATTAAAAAGATCCGTTTACGTGGGTGATGGCGGAACGACGTCGCTCTAAAATAATTTTTATTTTGCCGCCAATTCGGTCATAGTGACAGTTGGGCTGTCAAAAGACCTCGTTTAGAAAATACTGTCGCCATTTTCAATGCACTTTGTAATTTCGACGGTCTAATCAATACTCACATCAATCACTTCACACGAATTATTCTTGTAAGATTATGGTTTACTTGAACTTTATATTCANAGATCACTTAAGCGATTTTAAATCGCTTAAGCGACCAAGAGTTAACTGAGAATCTCTTAAGCGATACAACAGATCGCTTATTATATCTGTGATTCTGCCAGACCTAAGATCGCTTAAGCGACCAAGAGTAAACACTCATGATCGCTTTCTGCCCAGATCTCAGATCGCTTAAGCGATCATTTTTATCGGTTAAGCGATCATGACTGCGATCACGAGTAAAACAGAATAATCGCTTAAGCGATACAAATGATCGCTTAAGCGAAAGTACAAGCAATATTCCCAAACTACGTACCATATCTTCGCCGGCCTCCTCCTCGTCGCCTGGATCCTCCGACGACTCCTCCTGGCCTGAATTCTCGCCAGAATCCTCCTCCTGGCCTGAATTCTAGCCTGACTCCTCGTCTTCAGACCCGTTTGTTGGTTCTTCCCTCTGTTCTTGTGTCGCCGGCGTCTCCTCTGCGTGTGAACCACCTTCACTGGTCGGATGATCCACCTGAGCAGCCATTGAACTACTTGCGCCACCGGAATCTAGGATTCGAAGTGGCGTTGGGCTTCCCTCCTCATTGTCAGTGTCAATCATGGTTTTGGATTGAATTTGGTGTCAAAGTTTGCAGTTTCGATCGGAAATGTGGACTGTATCGCCGGAAATGGCACAGATTTCGTTTACGGTTAAGGAAATCGATTTTAGGGTTCAACAAATCGATCGAAAATCGCGACTATATCGCCAAAAATCGCGCCTGTTTTCAGTTTAGGGTTCAAGAAATTGATTTAGGGTGCAAATTTGCAGGTGTTCGATTGGAAAAATCGCGTCTCCCTTTCATTCAAGAAATCGCTTTTTGAACTGATGAATTTCGATTAAGGGAGGTGAATAGTTTGTGGGGCTTGTTTTACGAAATTTTAAATTTTAAAAACTTTTATTATTTCTGATTCGGCTCATATATATTTTAATCTTTTTATTTTAACCTATTTTACGTGTTTAATTAATCCTAACTATGCCACGTCATCTTCTCTAAATTAAAAAAATTTGATGAACGGGCTATTTTCTTAAATCCAAACTTGGGATGACCCGCCAGCTAAATTTTCTCCGTTTTCAGTGTTCTCCCTTTTCCTTCCTTGTCACATACTAAGACTTCCCAAACATTCTCTCTCTATCACTCAACTTAACTCTCCATTTTTTAATCACTTCAAGTTCAAGATAAGCTCACTACCTATTTCACTTCCTTTTCTCATTTCCTTAATCGTTTATCATCTGGGTATCTTTTTGTTTATATATATATATCTGTGTGTATGTGTGTGTTTTCATTCAGCTTCAAATAAGTTTCAGTTTTTGAGCAAATATGGCGGTCAAAGCTGAAAACTTCATCTTGTATTTGGTGGGGTTTGTAGGGTTTTCACTTTTGTATTGACCCTTTGTTTGGTTGCCGAGAAAATGGGAGGAAAGGGAAGGAAAGTTTGTGTTTTGGGGTTTTTATGGTTTCTGGATGACTTTTTTCTAATTATAGAAAGTTGAAGACTTGTGGGTTGTTTTCTGTTTTGGTTGTTTTGTTTCTATTAATGGAAAGTTGTTCCCTCAGCTTATTCAACGGGTGGTGTATAATTTATATTATGTGTTAACTGATTTAGTGAAGTTCTTGCTTTGTTGATGACTGAACTGGTTAAAATTTGGACTTTGTTTGTCATTCCTGTGTTTTGTGAGTGATCAAATAGAGTGTTTTTGGGTTTGTAATTTGTGGAATTGGGTGTGTTTTGGATGGATAATTCGGGTTTGGGAGGTGGGTTCTTGCTGGTTCCAATAGTAGACCTTGAGTCATCCATCCCTAGACTAAGCTATCAAAGTGAAATTAATGTTTTGGGTGATATTGGAGACGATCATCACCCCATTAATGTAATGGAAGTGAGAAGCTCGAACACTAAAGGATTTGGGATGAATTTTGGTCAAGGGAAGTTGGGTAGCCACGTTACTGTTCTTAGTGATGGCAATTTGAGTGATGAAGATGAGCCAAATTGTGTAGAAGAAGGGAATGGCGAAAACTCTAATGAGGGTAAGGGTAAAAAGGGATCTCTTTGGCACCGGATGAAATGGACGGATAATATGGTTAGGCTTCTCATAGCGGTGGTTGCTTGTGTGGGGTATGGCGGTATGTTNTTAAAAGTTGAATTTTGTCTGTCATTCCTGTGTTTTGTGAGTGATCAAATAGAGCTTTTTGAGTTTGTAATTTGTGCAGTTGGGTGTGTTTTGGATGGATAATTCTGGTTTGGGGGGCGGGTTCTTGCCGGGTCCAATAATAGACCTTGAGTCATCCATTCCTAGACTAAGCCATCAAAGTCACATTAATATTTTGGGTGATATTGGAGATGATAATCACCCCATTAGTGTAATGGAAGTGAGAAGCTCGAACACTAAAGGATTTGTGATGAATTTTGGTCAAGGGAAGTCGGGTAGCCACGTTACTGTTATTAGTGATGGCAATATGAGTGATGAAGACGAACAAAATTTTGTAGAAGAAGAGAATTGTGAAAACTCTAATGAGGGAAAGGGTAAAAGGGGATCTTACTGGCACCGGATGAAATGGACGGATAATATGGTTAGGCTTCTCATAGCGGTGGTTGCTTGTGTGGGGGACGACGGTATGCTGGAAAGTGGCGAGGGGCATAAGAGGAAATCGGGGAACTTACAGAAGAAGGGTAAATGGAAAACGGTGTCAAAGCTAATGATTGGTAAGGGCTGTCAGGTTTCGCCGCAGCAGTGTGAGGATAAGTTCAATGACCTGAATAAGAGGTTCAAGAGGTTGAATGATATTCTTGGGAGGAGATTTAGTTGTCAAGTGGTGGAAAATCCTGCTATAATGGACTCAATTCCGGATCTCTCAGCTAAGGCAAAGGATGATGTGAGGAAGATTCTGGGCTCAAAACACCTTTTTTACAAGGAAATGTGTGCTTATCATAATGGGCTTAGGATACCGAACTGCAATGACATTGATCTACAAGGTTGCCCAGAGAGATGCTCAAAAGATAACAATGGCTCTGAGGAGGAAGAAGCCGACAGGAACCATGATAGTGACGATGATGAATCTGACAATGAAGACAATCATAATGATGATGAGGATGGGGAGAGGATAGTTGAGCTTGGTGAGAGGAAGAAGAGAAGTGTAGAGGATGGTCGTTTTTGCACACAATCATCTGGTATGGACAGCTTTGAGGCTGAAATGGCTGAAATTTTCCATGATCCCTCAAAGTCATCTTTGGAAAGAAAGGAGTGGATTAAGAAACAGAAGTTGCAACTCCAGGATCAAAGATTCGGCTTCCAGGTTCAAGCCTTTGAGCTTGAGAAACAACGTTTAAAGTGGCTGAGATATTGCAGCAAGAAAGACAGGGAACTAGAGAGGTTGAGGCTGGAGAACGAGAGGTTGAGATTAGATAATGAGCGGATGATATTGCATGTAAAGCAGAAAGAACTGGAGATAGATTTCAGGTCAGAAGCATCCTTAGACCCAACTGCTCTTGCAAACAGACAGCAAGGTCGAGAACACATTGATTTGACTCGGCATCAATAGGTCCATGGAAGAAGGATTGATGATTTACTGCAGGCATCATGGATGGCAAGTACTTGAACTATACCGCTATGAAATTTTAACTGCTTAATCACACTAACCTTGTCGGACTTTTGTACTACCATAGATGAACAAACAGATAACTTTACATAGTGGTTTCCATGTAAAGTTGAAAAGTTAGTCCCATAGCCTTTGTTGCCTGAAGCTCTCTTGTTGTCCAGATTATGCAATAAATATTTTCATTTTCATCTATATTTCTAAAGGCTTTAGGTAAACTCATTCTCAGTCCTCATTCTGAACAAAGCATTGATCGACTGCTATGAGTTTGCATTTTCAAATTCCATATTGTCGAAAGAATGAGAACTTCTAAGGCAAAAGAAGGAGATTAAGGGCTTTGTTGAATAGAAATTGTAGTTTCGGAATGCTTTTCGTTATTAGCTTATTTGTGATTCAATTCGGAACCTAGTATTTGACATTCTACCAATTTTATGGAAAGGAGCATCATGTGACATTGATGAAATTTGTAGGGGCTAGAGAACGAGGAGGTTGGGACAAAACCTTTACATTATTGCATACAAGAACTATAATTCATTTCATTGTTTTATCAGACATTAAACCTTATTATCATGTTCTTATGCTCTTGACTTCTGTCTAGTTATATATACGGAGTCATTCTTCCTCCCCTGTTTCACTCTCAGACAAATTTTCTCTTTCGATTATTCTCTAGGATCATCATCTATATATAATGTCAATGTTCCGGAAGTATGATGGATGGATGCATATATTCATAGTTAAATTTAACTACTTGTATTGAAAGCTGTGTTGCCAAAGAAGAAGCTTAACCAAATTCTAGGATAATGCATACTTTCTCATAAGGTTGGTTTCATGGGTTATTTGATCGCGAACACTTGTTTCATTATGATTTGAGATCGTTCCAGATAGTGAGACTCGTCTATATAAACCTTTAGATCATGGTTCGAAGATTATCTGAATGATGATCCAATAGATTGAAGAGTAAACTTTTAGATCATGGCTTGAACATGGAATTGAAATATTGAATCATGATACAAAGATTCAAGAGAGCTAATAATATAACATTGTTTGATGAATATTTCGTACGTCACCATGCCTGCAAAAGTAAGTAAAGTACAAGTGATTGCTGGAGGATTGATTGAACCTCTCAATGGTTAATTCTTCGAGGCAATTATTATGCTTCATGAGGTTTAATAGTACTAAAGCTCAAGTGTTATAATAATTTTAATTTTTTAAAGAATTTATTATATTGAGTAATATTTTTGAAAATGTTGAGTTGGGTTGTTATTATGAGCTAGGATTTGAAAATTAATAAAAATATCTCATAGGTTTGTTAATTTAGCTAAACACCCTTTATAATAAAATATTGAAAATTAACAAAACACTTTCACCCACTCATTAAATGTCGGCAGTCGGTCACTACTGTCGGAGGGTGGTTGGAAGTCACTGTAATGGCGCACGACTGGTTAGATCTATTCAGTCGTCCGTCGATATGACATTTTTCGGCTAGAGCCACCATAGATCTGGCTGAAAAAGACCAGATCTGGTTGTTAATGGTAGTCATATCTTGGACGTCGTTGACGACCAGATCTGACCAAAGATCTAGTCGTTTGACCTTTTCTGGCTAGATCCATGGTGGATTTGACCGAAAAATGTCAGATCGGCGCACGATCGACCAGATCCAGTCGGTCATATGCCATTACGATGACTTCCGATCACCCTTCGGTTGTGGTGGCCGACTGCCAGCATTTAATAGGTGGGTGGGGGTGTTTTTGTTAATTTTTAATGTTTTATTATAAGGAGAGTTTAGCTAAATTAACAAACATAGGGGTTTTAAATAGTTGTATAGAATAAGATTGGATTTTGAAAATAGGGAAACAAATATGTATTTTAGATAGAATAGGGAAAAATAATAAAACAAACATAGCCATATGACTAAGATTTATAAACATAGATTTATAGACTATGGTCGGAGAATATAAAAATTAAAAAAGTGGATTTTTATTACTAGATTTGAAGTCATATGTCTAAGGAATTTTGTTTTCGGCAGAGTTTAAGGAAGAAGAGCTTATAGAAGAGTTTATTAGAATAGAACTTTTATGGAAATTTTGTTAGTTGTTTGATTTAAGAAAATGTAAAAGAGCTTTCTAAAATTAATATACCAATTACCCAAAAATGTTAGATTAAGAGAAATTTAAAAGATTACATAGGGGTATTTTTTAAATTTCAACATTTTTAATAAGCTGAAAAATAGCTTATGGGAAAAGTTCAAATTTTGAGCTTCTCCCAAAAGTTATAAAATAGTTTTTTATAGCGTATAAACGATTTTGAAATGGGACTAGACAATCTAAAAAAGTTTAAAAATGCTTATAAGATTAAAAAAAACTCTTTTGGCCAATAGATAAACTCAACCAAACAAGCTCTAATTAATGAATGACAGCTCGTCAAAATATTATTGGGTGCGTTTAGTTTATTATTTTGGATAGAATTTTGAGAATAATATTGGGTAGTTAAATAGGAGAGTATTACGAGGTAAAATTTAAAATTTCTAGAAAACCCCATAGGTTTGCTAATTTAATTAAATACCCCAATATATAAAAATTGTGTAAAATGACAAAATCACCCCCACTACCCGCAGTGCCAGATTCCGGCTACCACCACCGGAATCTGGCCGAAAAATTACGTTACGACACAGACCGGTCGGATTTGTGTCGTAACGCATCGATATGGCCTTTTCCGGCTAGATCCACTACAGATCTGGCCGAAAAAGGCCAGATCTACGGCCAGATGTGGCCATCGACTGCCGCAAAGGTCCCTCTTTGTCGGTCAACGATGACCAAATCAGTGAATAACCGACCATTTTCGGTCGTGGTGTAATCCATTGTGACAGATTCCAGCTACCACTGACGGTGGTTGCTGAAATCTGGCAAGTATGAGTAGGTGGGGATGTTTTTGCTAATTTTTAAACTTTTTTTTCTGGGGGTATTTAATGAAATTAATAAACTTAAGGGGTCTAAAAATAATTAAAAAAATATAGTAATATTTCTGAAATAATGTGTCAAACAATATTTAGGGAATAAGATTAGGAATATGGATAGAAATAGGGAACCAAATGCACCCATTATAAACACAAAACCCTCGTCCTTTTATTTTATTTTATTTAATACAAAAAATTTCATAAAAACTATACATTAATCCTAATGACTCCTCGATCAATTTTCAAAGTTTGAGTCCATTTTGTATTTTATTTTTCTAAAATTCATTATAATGTTCTTAGAAGAACTAAATTTCTAAGAAATGAAGGTTGGTTTGATTAATTAAGAAACCATCTGGATTTTTTTTTTTTTTTTTTTGTTTATTAAAAAGTTTAAAACATCCAATATGTGAATTTTAGGGTAAACTAAAATTAAAACAGAATCAATAATGCCAATCATATTTGAATTTTAAATTAATAAACAGAGAGGTATTTTGAATCGATTGAATGATTCCATTTAAGTATCTCCTCAAGGTGAATGAAATAAATAAATTAACAAAATCCTTATTGTTATGACTAAGAAATCAAAGGCTGACGTGGAGTTGCGTGACGAAACGTGACCTGCTCCCCTCAGAACGGTAAGCGCACGTCAGGCCTGCCAAGTACCCTGGTGCTCCCACGTGTCCGCTAACCTGCTCCAAATCGCGTGAAATCGACTTGAAAAATGGGTAATGGGACGTAAAATCAGATTAGGTCCTGACAATCACACCAACCCAAGGATTTAGTGATGATTACGCACATTCAACTGGGTATAAGAAGAGGAAGACCCTTTCATTGAGGGGAGGGGATCATTTGACATTAGAACTTTCTCTCTCTCCAAAAAGACTTTGTATTTACTTTTGAATCATCTGTAAGTCAGTCCGCTTTAGCGACCTGACCCACCATATTAATACAAATCAGTAGATGTAGGATTTGCTACCTTAGCATCCGAACCAATTTAAAAACCCTCATTGCATTTATTTCGCTTTCTATATTCATAATCACGTGTGCTTTTTGACCAATCAACGTTCCACCGCGTGACAGTTAGTTGGTGTCTAAATTTCGCATCAACAATTTGGCGCTAGAAGGAGGGCCTGATTTAGCGTCTACCCTTCATCAAGAGAATCTTTGACCTACTGGTCCTACAACAGCAAATGGCCCGCCAATCTGAGCCAGAGCAAGCTAATCAGCGTACTGAAGAAGTTCCAGTTTCGCAAAATGTTGCGGGGGATGTCCCGACAGCTTCACAACTTGACCCTGCCATCAGAAACTACATGGAGAGGTTCGATAATACTCTCCAGACGGTCAACCAAAGGTTGGACCGTTTGGACCAAGGCATTTTATCTACCACAGCTAAGGCGATGCAACCGCCAAAGACGCCTGCAGGTCGAGCGAAAGCGCGGCAAAGGGCAATAGCCCGTGCAGCGAGCACTGTAGCGCGTAGGCGCAAGGGTAAGCAAGTGGCAAAAAGTAAGCCTACGGGCTCCCAAGGACCAGCGAACACAAAAGGTGCCCCGAGCAGGGTATCGGCAAAGCTGAGACTCGACGAAAAAGTGAATCCCGAGCTGTCCCATGCCACGTCGCAGGCAAACCCAAGCGAAAATGCTGGGCGCGATGATTCCTATCACCACCAGCAGAACGACCCCGATCGTTATCATGCGGGTGGCCCCCACACCTCGCGGGGCGGTTCGTACCGCCGTGAGGGTCGTGAAAATGCCCCGCACAATCCATCGCCTTCACACGCCTCTAGTCAGCGTGTGTCGAGTGCGGCAGGAAATGTCGGCCGAGGCGAGGAGGAATCCGACCTCCAGACCTTCCTGAACCGCAATCGAGAAGGCCGGACTCGCACGGGTGAAAGCAATCCCCAATTGGCTCCGTTACCACAAATTGAGGAGCTACAGCGAGCTCTGGACAGGTTGAGGGAGCAGCAAAACGAACAGGCATAGGTCGCCTCTGCATCCCCTTTTTCTCCCGAAGTGCTAGCTGCTCCACTTCCACCAGGGTTTAGACTGCCCAGATATGCTGCCGTTTGAGGGAACTATGATCCGCAGGATCACTTATATGAGTTTAACGACCTGATGGAGCTCCACCAGGTCGGACCTTGCAAATCGTGTTTGGCCATGACGCTGACTTCTCACACCAAGCGGTGGTTAAGGTCGCTCCCGACGGGATCGATCAGTTCATGGCCTCAGATGAGCACGACGTTCCTGCAGCATTTCCAAGCCAATCGGAAGTTTCGTGCCTTTGAGCTACCTCAGCAACGTAAGGCAAGAAAGAGAAGAATCCCTGCAATCTTACATTGATCGATTCCACAGGGAACTCAACAAGGTGGCCCACGCCCGAAGAGTCCATCCGAACACTTATAATAGCTGGAGTTCGCCGGCAAACCGACCTGTGGAAAGAACTTAAGCTGAGGAGGATATTTCCCTCACTAGATTCTAACTGGCAGAAAAGTATCTCCGAATAGAGATTCATTGGCGGCA